TTGTCTAATCTCGCACTGTATACTTTAGTTTTAAACTTTTTTTTAATTTTTCCACTGTTGATTCTAATGGAATTTCCATGGATATGTCAACTATGTGTAGTTCTCCTGTCCTCTTTTTGATTTTCCTCAGAAATGGTTATGGTTTCTGAATAATGATTGTCCCTCTTACTATTTCCATTTCTCCATACGGCAAATCTGGTATTATTATAAATCCTTTCTGGGTTGTACTGATACTGGCAGTTAAATCCTCGAAATCTTTATTTCTTATGCTGAAAGCCGCCATCACTCCACTTTTTGAAGGTCTCTTATCTACTGGTATCATTGTTGTATCAACTTCTTGCGTCCAATTACCATATCTACACTTCAGGTAAGAGCCTTCGGATGTATCCATTCTTTCTGTGTGGAAATATTTTTCTAGTTCGGTCAACTGCTTTTTGGACGCCATCTTAGTTAATTTGTGAATCTCGTGCATTGAGATGCATTTGCTTTCAAATTGATTTTTTCTTTTTCTTTTTAGGTTTATATACTATTACGTATATTGATTAATGATTCCATTGTCCTCTACGTCTAAGCCAAAATCAAAGTAATTTCATAATCCAAAATTAGGTCTGCTTTGTTCGGGCCATTTTTCAGATGGAGAATCCTGGACTTAACACTGCCACAAACGACTTTGCAAATTTTGGGCCAGGTTTACTATCTGACGGCCATCATCTTATAAATCTAATTTCGCTCCTCTCGTGTGCATTACCAATTATCAACGGTTCCAGCCTTACGCGGGTGATGTAACTGCACACGGGCAATCTAACCCTGGAGGATAAAGGCCGTAAGATTTTATCAGTCAGCGAGAGTCTTAAACAAATGAAACGCGTAAGATGAAATAAACAGGTGGCTCCTTAGAATATATGCCCCTAGGTAAAACGCTTTAAGTTGGTCTTTTCTTTTACCCTAATCATCCTTCGATACGAGCCCAGACTTTGACGAGGGTCAGTGATAAGTCAGGAGTTCTGCTCGAAAGAAGTTGCATAATTATTATTTTCTTACAATTTAGCTTATCGCTATCCCGTCCGCGGCAACGCAACGCCAGTACAAGCGGAACTATTGGACTTTGAACGTCGAACCTTATCCCCAATATTTCATTTTTAGCGATAAATAAGTCATTTTCTATACAGGGATATTGTGGACTAGTCATTAATTTTTTCAGTATTTTGATCAACATTTTCATTTTTATCTTGCTATTTTATTTACCCACATTTTCTATTTATTTGTATTTTTATCTAAGAATAGAAATTATGACTAACGGCTGAGTTGCACATGTTTATGGAGAGGGTGGGCTCCATTTTGCAAAGTATATTTGTCATCATATTGCTTTAAAGCGACTTATAAACAAGTTATTTCTGGTTTTACAAAGATGAAATATGTTGCCATTGTCATTTAACTAAAACTATTTCAATGATCAGCCATGCAGTGGCTGAGCTAAGGTGGGAGATTAGAGGTGGCAATTGTCCGGATCTCAACCCAAAACTCGTTACAGGTATAAGATAAAACAAGAATTCTTTATTTCAGACTGCATAGTCCATACATCTAAATTAAAATACGGATACAGAGTAAAATATTGTAAACATAAAAGAACACATATATAACATATGTACAAGTATTCAGATACATTTACAACAATTATTAACACCATGCATTGTTAAAAAATGAAATTTAGGTGACACATTTAAATAGTAATTAGTTCCATCTACTAACAATATGAGAATTTAAATGAATGTTACAGTTCCAAAGTGATTTCAATATACACTATTAGAAAGTCTTGTTATCTTGTTATCATGATTTTTCCTCCGTCCTAATGCTATTACTGCATGTTTAAAGTCTGGTAAAATAAAATCCTCCAAACGTCAATGCAACTGCAATCAATGTGTGTGTGTGTGTGTGTGTGTGTGTGTGTGTGTGTGTGTGTGCATGCATACATACATACATACATACATACATACATACATACATACATACATACATACATACATACATACATACATACATACATACATACATACATACATACATACATACATACATACATACATACCCATTTTGCTTATCACCTGATCAACCAAGAAATACCTTCAGTGCATTTTCTACTCAGTTTTTGAGGAAGTGTTGTTACGAAAACAGACAGATGAACGCGCAATATCCCTCGATTAAGGGTTAACAATCAGCACAACCGAAATAACAGATTGCGCTATCACGGTGACGACGGCTTTTATCATACACTCTCGGAAATAAAAAATTTGCGTATGTTTGAGCTTGTCATAAAAGGCTAATTAGTACATTCCAGGGTCACAATATCTTTAGTGGAGCCGAGAGATTGTAATTTAATGGTCCATATTTGTTTGACTAGAGAACTATTTTGTATCTTATTGTTCCTAGTTACATTGTAAAAATTCTCATAACACCAGTGAACGTGATCGGTCATCCCTAAGCGTGCTTAGGATCTAGTTTC